ATTTAACCGGTGACAGCCAGAGACAGAAGACCAACGAGAACTCGTGTGGATTTCAAAAGGAAAGCTATTCAAGTCCGTGCTGGATTTTACGTGCAACATGACTTTTGAGGAACTTAATGGAGATTACTCGGTTGAAAGGTAAAATTTTATTTATATTAACATTTATTTGGCAATTCGGACATATAACATTATTATAGTAATTTTACCAATAATTGAATAAGGCCTTATAAATAAACATCACCATGTGAAATGAGCATTATGAAGAACAAGATATGTTCTTTCTGTAACATATTACAGAAAGATACATCTCAAACACATGTAACGTTACCGGGACGGGTGAACTGTCAATCAGCGGCACGAGACTCGGCTCACGAGACTCGAGTCTCACGAGGCTTTTCGCTTGTGATGTGCCGGATTTTGTAGATCTTAAAAATTTTGCTAAATTATTTTTGCTGATATTTTATCTGCTTGTATATGAAAAATATCTGCAAATTACTCGATCAAACTATTATATACTCGAATTATTAGTTTTCACTTTTCAACCGCCGCAGTCTCTCAGTGCAAACGGTGCACGAGCTGTTATCAGGCACAAATGTTCAATCGTCTCGACTTTACTAAAGTCGTATTAATGTATCCAAATGTTGTTTTACAGGATGGATTCTGTGATTAAAGCTCTAGAGGAGGTCCTGCGCTCCGCATTACCGCAGGGATCTGTTACAGTTGGGGTGTACGAGGCTGCAAAGTCACTCAATGTGTAAGTTTAGAGGCTTTTTCAATGTTGCTGTTTTTCAAAGTACAGACTAAATAACTAAAATCTCAACTCTTCTGTTCAGTGATCCCGATAACGTGGTGTTGTGCATCCTGGCCACTGACGACGACGATGATGTGAAAGATGTGGCTCTCCAGATTCACTTCACTCTCATTCAGGCTTTCTGCTGCGAGAACGACATCAACATCCTGCGCGTGAACAACACGCGCCGCCTCGCGCACATCCTCGGGGGCGCGGGCATGCACGGGAGCGAGCAGATGGATTTGCACTGCATTCTGGTCACTGTAAGTGATTTTTTAGCTTTTACGTTACTTGTCAGGACATGTCCAGGTGTAACTGCCACTGCATGACGTCCACAGAAACATCCTGCTCTGTACTCATTCATATGCAAATAGGAGTGTCTTGACTTAATGTTTCAGGTTATTTGCATTTTATTTTGAAATCAAATGAACAGCTGCCTCGGTATTCATCATTCTTATATTCCTTCAAAAGACTCCATAGGAAGCATTTAATAAGATTTGCATACTCCAAAAATCACTGGTCTTTTGAATTGTCCTCTATTGCAGCTTGACTTCACTTTCACTTCACTTTTCACGGGATTTGTTTCGGGAGGTCAAGGGGTCAGATTCTTTATTGGCCAATACTAAAATGCAGAGAGCAGGGTGACTGTGGTGGAAATAGTTATGTTTCACACACACACAAAAAATATTTTAAATCATAGACTGTGCTTAGAAGAACTGCAAAGGACAACCCTTAGAAGTTACACAGCAGGTGATACAAACAGATTGTAATCCCATCTCTTCTTCTAATGTTCACAGGTTCCACATGCATCCACATGGAAAAACCCAGCTCTGGGAAAAGTGAACCACTTCTGCAGAGAGAGTCGCTGTATGGATCAATGGGTGCCCATTATCAACCTTCCAGAACGATGAGGACAACTAAAACCAAGAGGGGGAAACATGGATAAAATATCTAATAAAAAAGATAGTCGCAAAAAGGACTGATTGCCCAGACCGGCGGAACAAGGGACTGACCTTTAGTATAAACTGGAGGAGGAGCACCTTTTTGCAATCTGAGATGATTCAGCGATTTTTGGCTTTGTTTGTGGGACTTTTTAAGGACGTCACATGAAGCTGATTGTGAATGGAAGTGAGCACCTGAGTATCTTGTGAGATAGTTTATAGGTGGGGTGTCAAAGCACTTCAGTTAAATTACAGGATGAAATATTTCTCAGAGCAACACGAAGCACTATTTTTCAAAGAGGCTGGCCTGTTTGTATCTTTGCCATCGGTTTTGAATAGTATACCATGAGTACTTGTTTATTAATGTTTGAGAATAAATCATTTTTAAAAAGGAACTTGCTTCTAAACCACTGAGATGAAAACTATGCATTCACAGCATCCCGTTTTGGGCTCTTTTTTTTGTACATAAGTTAATTGTTCTTTTGTGGTCTTTAAATTATTTCTATTCTATTAATTTAAAGAAGTATTTATGTAAAAACTTTTTATACTATTATATGCAAACATGAATTTTGTGTTGCAATAAAAGTATTTTTGAACACAATGTGGTAGTCATGTGGGTTACTCTCTCTGATGGAGGTTTCTGGACTAGTAGAATTGACCCGACAACACCAGTGGGGATCAGCGGGGTCACGCTGGACTCGGTGGCCTTCGTGACTCCCTGTTACAGTCCGACAAAAGCCATCCAAGCCTTTCTTTTGTCCGCGTGACCACTGCGTCTATTCATCAGATTCCTCTTTCAGCTGAAATGAATTGCTCAGGTTCAGCTTACTGTATCGCTTGCTCACGTCAAGGTTAAACTTGCTGTCATAAATCAGTTTGCTCTTAATTGTGCTATGTGTGGCAAACTGATACTATGTAGGCCAAAAGTCAGTCACTGTGTAGCAAGTACGCAAGACATTACACAAGCAAGCCCTTCTGGAGAACGGAAGTGTCTCTAGAGGTGCCCCAAGGTGTGGTTGTGATCACATGACTGGCACATATTGGGTCAGGTTTCCAGACATCACATACCAGTAAAACAGTTGTGTAACCCACCACTTCCTACACAAAGGTTATGAAATAAGGTTTGACTGACGCAAGGCAAATGCAAGGCAGGTAAACCCCTGTCATGTGACATCAGAAAAGGACGTATTTGCTCAAGGTTAACTTGGTGAATTGATTTCACTGTGTATTAGGCTTTTTGAACAAGATTATGTGATCATTTTGGTCACTATATTCTATATTATTTAATACTTTTCATAATGATCAACTAAAATCAACTTTAATTATGAGTTTTTACAGTAGCCTATAATATGCAAAGTATTTTTTTTCAGGGGGGCGCTCGAAGGGGGTCTCGCCCTGGGTGTAATTCAAAGTAGAACCGCCACTGCTCAAGGACAAAATAGCATTTCTCAAAGACAGCTTACATGCTAAATATGTCTATGCAAATAGTAGAACCAAGCAATCCTGGTCAAAAGTTAGCTAGTCTCTCAACTTCAATAATGAATGCGCCTTGTTTTTTGTCGTCACGAACAGGATCATTTTTAGAACGCAGGTGATATAAGAGCTGTTTTGTCACAACTTACATCACTGCACCACCACTCCTTGAGCTCAGAATAACACACAGCAAACGTCACATTAACTATCCTTTACTAACAATCATTTCTGTCACATCTCTGATGGCTAAGATGAATTTTAAACATCATCAAGAATAAAGTATTTACTTTAAAAAATGTGGATAAGACACATGCCTTTGGTGTGAGCGGCCCAGGTTCGAATCCACTGTGAGACACCAATGTCCCTGAGCAAGACACTTAACCCCTAGTTGCTCCACAGGCGTGCGACCTCTGACATATATAGCAATTTTAAGTCGCTTTGGATAAAAGCGTCAGCTAAATAAATACATTTAAATGTAAAAATGTATTTGTGTACAATAAAGGGTTAATTCTCCCATCTTTCTTTCTTTGAAACACAAATACAGATATTTAGCAGAATGTCCGAGCTGTTTTCCATACTATAAAAAAAATGGATGGAGTTACCATTCACTTTCAGGGAACGTTTACACAACAACAATGTACTAAAAATGAAAAATTTCATCCTTTGTGTTATTCGTGCACAGATGACAGCGTAGTCAAAATGATTCCCATTCACACGGATCTGTGAAAACTATTAAAATCGCTGTATTTTTTATGTTAAGAAACATTAATGCACCTGAATGTGACGCACATGCACGTCACCATTTTCACAAATTCACATTTTTGTAGTTCACACGACGACGATAACAGTATCGTTTTTAAAAGCGATGCTTTAAAATGAATGACTGTGTAAATGAAAAGCAAAAATGCATAAAAACGTGTCTGTTTTTAGTTGAAAACGGTGTCGTTTAAACGGCCCCTCATTCTAAATTTTCAAATGATAGACTAATATAGTAAAAATAAACATTAAATGGATAGTTCACTTTGACATTCATTTTTGGTATGTTTCAGCTTACCTCAAGGGAATCCAAGATGTAGGTTTCTTTGTTTCAGCAGTATTTTCAATTTTGATATTTTTCTTGTTCTTGTCTGTCAGTCATATAATGGAGGTCTATGGTCACCACCTCAAAGAGCATGCACAGAGAAGTCCAAATTAAACATGATTTAATGACTCATAAATGTAAGTACACATTGATGGCCTAAGACACGAAACGAGCGGTTTGTGTGAAAATGAACAGCATTTATATAGTTTTTACGTCCACAGCCACATCCAAGTGATCCGAGGGCGAGGGCGCTTTGTGGCTGTAGTACAAGAGGTAAAACCTATATAAATGCTGTTCGTTTTCTCACACAAACCACTCGTTTCGTGTCTTAGGCCATCAATGTGTACTTATTTACGAGTCATTAAATCATGTTTAATTTGGACTTCTCTGTGTATGCTCTTTGAGGTGGTGACCATAGACCTCCATTATATGACTGATAGACAAGAACGGTTTGACCTAAAAATATCAAAATTGAAACTAATGTGGAAACAAAGCTAAAACACAGCAAAAAATAATTTCAAAGTCAACCATCCCTTTAAGACTCTGCAAGAACACACATATGTGATGCATTTTGTTTTACTATTTCACAAATTTAATAAAATCTTTCTTTCAAGGTACAGTATGTATAGCACATGTTATGAAGGCTTGCAAAAATACAGAAATTAGAGAAACTATTTTCTTCACAGAGATACTGAGGTCACAGGGATTTGGTCTCAAATCTCAAATACTGCATAACTTCTGATGTCTCTAAAATAACACAGACATTGCCGCATCGATACATGGTTGCTCAGCCAATTCAAAGTGTGAATGTTAAAGTAATGTTTCATGGCTTCCCTGTTTGGAAAAAAACCCATTTGATTCATAGACAAGATCAAACAATAGTGGTCTTTTGTTTCAAAATTGTGGCTTGACAGAGGAAAGAAACGTTTAAAACAGAAGGAAAAGGCACTTTAAATCTAAAGCAACAGAATAGACTCGGGGTCAACAGAAAAAAAGTCTCATCTTTTCAGTCGTACACATCAATAAGTAAGGATTGCTTTGAAAAATGTAAGGCACATGTTTGAAGGTGCTCTTGTTTCTCATAAACCACTCTTATATCTTTTCTCTAATGGCTTTGCACATTATAGTGGTATAATGTAAGTATTTGTGTGATGTGATATCACTTACTACATTACTTACTATGCACTTGACCATTGGTGATTGCAGAAGCCACATCAGACACATTATCCAGTACGAAAAATGGATCTTTAAATTCCACTTATTTTAGTCAGTCCCTTTGCTATGACATTATTCATAGAAGCTATAAGAGGAATATTTAACCCACGTCTACTTATGACATTCATCAGTTAGTGTATCTGCAAGCTCTTTATATAATAATGTAATGACGATATCTTTAAAAAGTGTAACTAAAGGCACCATTCGGTGGAAAGAGGAAATTAAATCACATAATTCAAGCAGTTTAGATGGTGTTATTTCCTGGAATGACTTCAGTTTGGCCCAAACAGGCAACCAAAATGGCAACTAATTAGTAGTGATTGGAGTTTATTTACAGTAATAAATACTGTAAGAGCTAAATCTAGTTAAGACATGGCACAAAGTTATACTAAGGAGCTAGAGCTGGACTTAAGGCAAAGTTGAGTAGGAGTAATTAAATAAGACGAGCGTACACTACAATATAGTGCAGGGCTTTCTGTCCTTGAAGGGGTTTTCTGAGGCAGGGATGCCCATGAGCAGGGGGTCGTATTTGGCGTTTTCTCCACAGTAACGCATGAGATCAGCAGAGGCCTTGGATACCTGGATGAGACAAGTCAGAATGTGACAAATCTTTTTTATATTCGTTTAACCATATAGTGCATGAATCGTTAAATCACAAAGAAACTATATCTTATGGTTTATTTTTACTTCAAACCAAGTATTTATACTTTCGTTCAAAAGTTTGGGCTCGCAAGGTTTTTTTATGCTTCGGAAAGAAGTCAAAAATACAGTTAAAACAGTTATAATATGAAATATTATTACAATTTAAAATAATTGTTGTAATGTAATGTATTCCTGTGTTCAAAGCTAATTTTTTTAGCATCATTACTCCAGTCTTCAGTGTCACATGATCCTACAGAAATCATTCTAATATGATGATTTGATGCTCAAGCAACATTTCTGATTATTATCAATTATATATCGGCTACCATATAATTGGCCGATACATGTTCATTTTTTATGTTATCGTTATCGGCCTGATATTTTGAAGAAAATTTGGCCGATATTTTAAAGCGATAAATAATGGATTTGCTTCAGCTGATACATTTCAGATGTGCACTGTTTGCCATGCTGAAAAAGATGAAAGATGACCAGAATGACTTCATACTGTATTATATATATATATATAGAGAGAGAGAGAGAGAGAGAGAGAGAGAGAGAGAGAGAGAGAGAGAGAGAGAGAGAGAGAGAGAGAGAGAGAGAGAGAGAGAATTTCAAATGGCACTTAGAGGCTTTTGCATCTGAACTCTTCATATATATATATATATATATATATATATATATATATATATATATATATATATATATATATATATATATATATATATATATATATCGCACACACACACTTAGTAATATATACACACATACTGTATATTATATAAACAAACTTATGTAAGATGTGATTAATCGCGATTAATCAATTTGGCAGCAAACTTTTTTTTTAAATAATAATGCATAATATTAAATTAAAATATCTTTATATGCATGGTGCTCAGTAGAGTAGACAGATGTATTTGCAGTTTTGGACAGTAAACTCAAAAAGAGGATGTTCATCTTGGGAAAGGCTCAAAGGTATCCATGGTGGTAAATAAAACGGCTTTAAAGATCTGTTCACAGTAATGTGACACCAGCATCAGAAGGTTAATTCACAACAAAACATACCTTTATCCTCTCAATACTGGCCTCGACTTTCAGTTGCTGGACCATCCTTCTAGCATGTGTCAGGTTGTTTGAGCCCGCCATTTTAGAGGACATTTTTGAAACCATGTAACTGCAATAAAACACACAAAACGTGCAGTTACAGAACAGATGTCATAAAACACTTATATTTTGTCATATGCCAGTGTCAGAGAGCACAACTGATGCAGAAAGTCATGACAACATCGCATTAACAAATCCTTCCTCCAAACTTCACCCAAATCAACACCCATATTGTAACAAATGAAATCTAGAGCAATTTCACAATATAAAAGCACAAAATGGATGCAAACGAAAACAGTCTTCCTAATATAAAAACATCTGACTAGTGTCATAAGTTCACCATTGGAGTCCGTATTATTCACTGCCCTCTGCCCTTACCCACACAACTCAATATGCAATAGATACTGACAGAAACTCAATGGACACTTAATTCTCTGCAGATAAAATGTCAAAACCTTCTCAGAAAGTATTCAAGTGCTTGTTCTGTGGAAAACTAGTATTTATTCCCTGAGCTTTTAGTGGCTATTGAATTCATTATAATGTCAGTTCTGTTATGCATTTCTGTCATTCCTTGCTTTCATTTTGAAATACGTACCTCATTCAACTCTAACCTGAAAGGCTAGAATCTTTTAACAGTACAAATGAAAGAACAGCTTCTTCATGCAAAGCAGGGGTTGGTCATGATGTTAAGATGTCAACAAGTTAATGTTAACCATGAAAAATAAAAAACAAATCAGAGGAAATCTTAAGATTATTTCAGTTTATTAAAATTATATATCTGCATTCTGTTCTCAGTCAATTTTTAATGCAAAAAGAAGGAATGCATCTGTAATCAGGTCAGGTGAATTTAACCAGCATAATTAAATAAATAATTCAAAAGTTCCTGTAATGTCTTACATAAAACGGGTTTCCAGTTTCCTGCATTCCCTAAAGACTGGAATACTTCCACGAGTGAAGCACAATGAGGTGGTCTATTGTCACTCAAAATACAAAAGGTTCATTTTCACTGACTTCTGGGTAAAGGAAGAGGAAACATTGCAGAAACAGTCTGGAGTTTTAGGTTACTAGTCCATAAAAACGTTTTTTTTTTTTTTTTTTTTCATTTAGGACATGTCCTACTTTACCTGGCTTGAGGAAGTTTGGCAGTGGCATGATGTCACACGCTTACAAAACCGGAACAGTGTTACAGTGCTCTCTATCGGGAAAGCTTACATAATCACAAATGCTCCTCCAGAACATCTAGCCCGGTCGACAGATTGTGTCTCCAACAACTGAACACTTTATATGAGAAATCATAGCTTTTCCAGTTAATGTCTATATGGCTAACAAGGTTTACCATTGGTATAACCCATGAAGTCAGAGAGGAACATTGAGAAATCCTTTATTATGATGTAAATAAAATACTGGAAAGTTTAGGCTAAATATAGTTACGGAAGAGAACAAAGTATACACTGCACGACACAATCTGCAGCACAGATAAGTGTGTTTCCTTGTCTGAGTCACAGAAAAGGTGCTGATGACTTTATGTTCTGCCTATACGGGTGGTACACTTTTGGAGAGCACAAAACATGTCCCTGTCTGAGTGGTGACCTATTAGCCCTGAGGTCATCAACAGCTGCCACTACACAGTTTATTCAGCAGATGTTATCAGCTGTTCCTGCTAAATGCTCACTTAGTCACATGATCTCCCGGTGACACCAGCATGCCCTGATCAACACACTGTAAAAATGCAACTCATTCTCACTCAGCATGTAATACTGTGACTATTCAGCACATTTAGACTTGCATCACCTGAAGGCAGCTAAAGAATTGTAGGTAAGCGCAGGTTGTATGCATTAAACATGCTAATTCAATATGCAAAAAAAAAAAAAACATTGTATGAAACACAAAAATATTAATTAGTGTGCAAACAGATATAAGAGAAATGCCCAACTGCAATTTAATATACAAATATTACAACAACGTCATAAATATCAATTATGCATTGAATTAAGTTAATTCTACATTTCGAGAACAAAAAAAGCAGGGCTGAAATGATCTAACAAAGTTTGAAAGACTTTTGGCTGCATTATTTGCAAACGTTTAAGGCTTCTTAAACAAGAGGCCCTTAGATGTCTTAAAGCTGGCATGCAATTAAAAGATTTTCAAAAAAATCTTAAATGATACCATTTAAAAAAAAATTGACAAAATTACCAAAATGTCATAATTTGATTTTCCTGTGAAATGACTGACATCTCTCTGGTGATGTATACCAGACTTCTCGGTAACGCTTCCTTTTACAGTCCAGTTACCCACGTAAATACTATGTACTTATTTTAGTAACAACAATTACTGGGTAATAACCAGTGTTGGGTAAGTTACTCTAAAAAAGTAATTAATTACTAGTTACTAATTACCTCTTCAACAGTGTAATTAGATTACTGTACTAATTACTCTCTCTAAAAAGTATTTAATTACTTACTAATTACTTTACAAATCCCATATCAATCTCAACCAGCTGAATAATACAAGGATAGACATGAATCTGTTTTAATTCTTTGAAATAAATACTATAAAATTGCATGAAATATCCTTAAACAGACCAAGGTGGAGAAGGTTACATTATAAAAACATACTTTTTAGCATCAGACAATACATTTTGATGTTAAACCCACTACTGTTCTATGTCTGATCTCATGACATTTCACATTTTTTTCATACATATTTTACAATAATTCATACGAATTTTTACGAGTGCGGTCGTAATATTTAGACACCTCATAAAATGCATACGAATCGCTGTGAGATCGGATTGATCTATACACAGTAGCTATTTACCTAAATTACATCAGAAGTAACTGTAATTAAATTACAGATAAATTAAGAGTAATCCCTTACTTTACATTTTCAAGGGAAAAGTAATTAAATTACAGTAACTAATTACTTAGTAATTAGATACACCCAACACTGGTAATAACTAACCCTGAACCTACCCCTAAACCTACCCCTGTTCCATATACTTACCTTATATTAGCCGGTACTTTCTAGGTAAGTACACTGTAAGTACTGTACTGTACTGTAAAAGGAAGTGTAACCGACTTCTCCAATCATTCTCGTACCATGTTTCGTACGCATAAACCCCGCCCCTTTCTTACAATTCACTGTAAGCTAGCGTTCAAAATCTGCCTCTGTCCAATCAACAACAAATGCAAAGTTCCCAACAAAATTTACTATTTTTCGTTTTCTAGACGTACGTCACAATACGAAAGCTATGAACGGTCACTATTTGCAAATACACATGCTATGTTTCCTTAAAAAAGAAAAGACCCGCTGAGCAGAGTGAGTAACGAGTTATAACAAATCTGCATCTGGAGCAGGGCCGGATCTACCATACGGGCAATCTACCCAGGGGCCCTTGCGCAAGGAGGGGCCCTCCGTGACCAGAATTTTTGTTTTTTGTTTTTTTCACTACATAAATATAATATATACAAGGCTTGGTCTCGCTCTTGATAATTATCCAATCAGAATAAAAAAAAAAAAAGTTGTTTGCAAAAGATTCTGTTCAAAAACAAGAGATCAAACAAGTTGGCAGAATTGTCTAAATCGGTTCTCGAATCAGTTTGAATGATTTGTTCAGTTTCCTGCATGCACTGAACCACATGAAGCAGTTTCACACTCAATATGTACCTGTCGTGAGACCGAACACACGTGAGGAGTTTTAAAGTTTGTATCAGCGATTTCAGGCCTAAACATAAATACATGATCACAATCTTTCCTAACAATCCACTTGCTGCTCGCTAAACTTGGGTAGCTCTAGCTAACGTAGGCGACATGCTGAACAGAGTGAATATCAGATTGTAGGAATTTAGTGTGCGAGTTGTGTTTGCGTCATGATAAACGAAACGGGATGGAGGGAAAGGCAAACTAACTTTGTTTGTTTGGTTCGGGATCTCGCTTCAAACACAAGTGACGTCACCCACAATCACAGATACAAACTTTAACTCTTTCTTCTCTGTGTCAATGTTCCCTTTACATGCCTTGGAATGCAAAACTCTGCAGATTTACTTTATTTCGACAGTGATTTAATAACACAACTGTAGTTGTATAAGTTAGTGTGTGTGTGCGTGGAGTGGGTCTGGTGGTGTGAAGGTCAGCTGCCTTTGCTGGTTGTCACTATATTATTTATCGTGGTGTGGTTGTCAGGTAAGGGAGGGGGCCCCTTGAGCTTCAGTGCCCAGGGGTCCCTCCCTGGGGGTACTAATCCGGCTCCGATCTGGAGAACATCTGTGCCATCGGGGTTTTACACTATGAAATGGTCATTTCATGATGAATGATTGACAGGCTGAGAGATCTAAAGATAGCCAGCCTATCTCTTTTTCTCCAGGATCTCCAAACAACTTTACGGAAATGTTCTTAGGTAGGGTAGAGGTCACTTCTACAGAAAGCAGTCTGTTAACCCCCAGGGTCCAGTTCTATAGAAACAGAGATCTGCATGCACTGACAAACAGAAGCCAAAAAAGTTATTCTACAGATTGCAACAGCCTAGACAAATTTCCACATAACCACATCTATCAAAAAAGTACACTACAGAGAGAAATCACTCAGAACTCTACTGAGGAATAAAAGTGTGCACATATCTAATAAACATTCAGTGCAGCAGAATTCAGAATGTGTCCAGAACGAGACTGTTTTGAGTAGTTAGACAGAACTTTGCCTTAAATTGTAACTCTTTTCATATAAGATATGGATATATGGAGTAAAATTCTGACCAATAACAATAAGCTCAATTATTTTTATGCTATATGGCCAATAACTGATAAATAGCTTATCAAAAATCTGTTTGTTTTTGGTCTAAATGCACTATGCTTTTGGGTCGGTAAGACGTTTTAATGTTTTTGATGCTGAATTTTCTTGATCAAAAATACACTAAACTATACAGTAAAATATTATTACTAGGGATGGGCAACGATTAATCGCATCCAAAATAAAAGTTTGTGTTTACGTAATATATGTGTGTGTGTGGTGTGTATAATTATTTTGTATATATAAATACACACACATGCATGTATATATTTAAGAAATATTTGCATG